GTTCTGCTCCTTCTCGTGTGTGTCCCTTGCCCACCTGGTGGCAGGATAAGTCAGGCGTAGGGTTATACACGGCAAATGTTTACAATTGCTCAATAGCGTACAGTGATATTTGTTGTTCTTGGCGGAAGATGCAGAATACACGCCTTTGAGTATTGATATATTCTGTCTCCATGTGTTGCACCACAGTTTGTGGTCTGTTGCTTAAAAGCTTATCACACCACAAGAGTTAGCCTGTCTGTGGCGTTTCCCACTGTGTTTAAGCTAGTGCACTCTTAAGTTTAGTTTGAAAGTATCGTCCGAATGACCACTGAAATCCTGAACTCCGTACGCCGTGTCACTCGTATATCAAGGCACCACATTTTTAACTTTCGTTTCGCATAAAGTGTAATATCATGGGAACATTGTTTAATATGATCCTTAAAATGCCCCTTCTGAAGCATCCCCAGTCACCAGATGAGGAAATGTGATGTCACTTTGATTTGAGTCATTGTTTCACTCGTTGCGCTTTCCGAACAATGAAGTCGTCAAAGTAATTCAGCCTTTTCACAACCTTCAGCTCCAGTCCTGGACGACTCCACCGTGTCGCAACTCTGCGACATGGGCTTCCCCCTGGAGGCGTGCAGGAAAGCCGTGTACTACACGGGAAACACCGGCATCGACTCTGCCATGAACTGGTTGATGGGCCACATCGATGATCCAGGTGTGCCGAGCGACGCGTAGTGAACGGTCGGTGCAGCTCTGTCCCCTTTTGAGCGCTTCGCTCAAGCTGCCCTCTCCTGTCCTTTTCGATTGGCCGCAGACTTCTCCGCCCCCTTGGTCCTGCCGGGCTGCAGCGGCGGCACCACGCCGACCATGGAGAGCATCTCCGAGGAGCACCTGGCGACCATCGTCTCCATGGGCTTCAGCCGAGAACAAGCAACCAAAGCACTTCGAGCAACGGTGAGAGGCTCGGATCCACACAGCCGTATACATTTGCACGCCACAGGAAACTTATTTAATTCAGTGGCCAACAAAATGTACTTACTTGCATGCCCTCGCTTTTGGGAAGGGAGAGCCATCGGCAAAACTAAACCTGAATTCACACTCATATTTTTTCCCCACGCTTTTTTTTTTTTTATTTTTTTTAAATAACCAAACATGTATATAGTTAATTTAGTCAATCACCAAATATGAAAGTGACCTCCTAACATGTCAAATGTATAAAATATCCCTTGTCCATCAGAGCAATACTCTGGAGCGGGCCGTGGACTGGATCTTCTCACACCTGGACGACCTTGAGTCTATGGAGGTTTCCGAAGGAGGTCGCTCGGCCGCCGAGAGCGAGGCCGCTCGAGAGCCTCCGCCCGGGCCTTGCGTCAGAGACGGACCAGGCAGTGAGTGGGGTGGGGGATGAATGAGCACTAGGCCTTGAAACAACCCGAGCCCTTTGTGGAAATACTTTTCCCTCAGGACTCGGAGTACACGTTCGTCACTGATCACGTTCTTTTGTCTCACGTCCAGAATATGAACTGTTTGCCTTCATCAGCCACATGGGCACGAGCACAATGTGCGGCCACTACGTCTGTCACATCAAGAAGGATCAGCAGTAAGTGTCCTCAAATGATCACGTTTCTTTCACATGCTGCACGTTCTAACACCCGGCAGCCAGAGGAAAATTACAAATCCCTCGTCCCCCTATCCCCCACGAATTGCGCTGGAGTTCACTGCACTGCAGGCCTAGACTTTTACAAATTTACAGCCTCAATAATGCAATGAGCGTAGGAGCTTGTACTCTTTTTTTTCCGCATGTACTCAATATCCTTGATAGCCAGCTTTGTCCATCCACTAGTATTCTATTTGCCATTACTAGTGGGACAGTTTGAACCACTAGCAGAACGACTGCATCTCACGAGTCATTTTTTTTCCCCATTGCGGTTGCCACTTTTGGCCTATGAACACACAATTAAATCCAACTAGAAAACCAGTGTGCTACGTTAGTAGACAAATTAGTAGGCACGAGTCACTAAAATGCCCACTAGTAGTTTTGCCTCACTAGTAATGTGTAGTTAGTTGTCCTAAGTTTGCTTAAGTTGTAATAGTATTGGGAAAAATGTTACTCGTGAGGCACTATTGTTCCACGAATGCACCCTTGTTGTCTGCAAACGTGCTGAATTGTCTTACTATAAAGGACAAAGAGCGTACTAGTACACAGACCTTAAGGATAAAAAAAAAAAAAATAGATGCTCAAATTGATTTCTATGTCATTTCCTAAATTCAGTCGAAACGCTTCGGAAAATGGAAAGATCGATGGATGAGTTTCAGCGGCATGTTCCATCGTAATACCTGCAGATGGCGCTGTCTCCATATAAAAGCGCCATGGGATTGTAAACGGGGTCACTCAAAAGACTCCAACAATCGTGCTAAAATTACACACGTCTTTTATTTTTACTGATTATTATTTTTTAAAATTTTCATTTTTGGGTGCGTTTCACAAGAGCGTAATCTGTTGAATCCACAAATTAAACCTGAGTTTATAATTTCAGTGCATAAAAGAAAACTACCATTTGACAAAAACTATTTTCCCCATTATGTTTCGTAAGTGTTATCTTTAAAAGACCACTTTTTTCCCTTTAATTTTCCAGTATTTCACAAACACGTACTTTTTACCTTTTATACCAAGAACCTCCCAGTTTTAAACATTACATCATGATTTGTTTTGTAATAAAAGTTATTTAAAACAATAAGTTTAGACAACAAAACCACCAATTTTCCTTTTTTTTCGTTTCTTTAAAGAAGATTGTATTTTATTTCATAAACATTGTTTAGTTTTTTTTTTTTGTTTTGTTTTTGTTTTTTTGTTTCTTCATGGAAACTCCCCTCTCCGCATTATGAAGCTACCCTATGCCTCACAGGCTTGCCATCTTCGCTGACTACATATTTAAACTTGTAGTTTAACGACACTCTCGCACACGCCCTATGACGTACGTCTGTGTTTGTCCGTGCGGCAGATGGGTCATCTTTAACGACCAGAAGGTGTGCGCCTCAGAGAAGCCCCCCAAGGACCTGGGGTACCTCTACTTCTATCGGCGGGTGGCCGAATGAGACTGAGCGAGCTGTTGCAACACTTTTTGCGGGGCAAATGTGGCGAGTGTGGATTCTCTCTCACACACACACACACACACACACACACACACACACACACACCGCTTTTAATGGCGCACTTCCCTAAAATGTCTTTGAAAGACCCTGGCACACGTCATAACTGTAAATACTCTCTGATTGCTCATGGCTGAGTTTTTTTTTTTTTTTTGATCCAAGTTTTCTCAGTAAATCCTCCCTGAAGCGAACTCTCACTTCTATCCAAGGCCTCCTTTCAGCCTCTGAAATTGTGTCTCCATGATTGGTTTACAATGCATGTCTTCCCCTTTGAAAAGTACCATACACGTCCTTCCAGCCCCGTCCTCTCCCCCCTCGAACTTGACACCACTTAAGCCAAGTCCGCCTCCAACTTAGTCCGCCATTCAGAGCGAGCGAGTGACAGAGGGAGAGAACAAGTGATGGACAGAACGTCGGCTCCACGGTGTGCTACGAAAGAAAATAAAAACACCAGACCAAGTTTCAGCCTATATGTTGTTTTTGTGTAACCCGCTACCCGCCCCCCCATTTCTCACCCTGCAAAAAAAAAAGACAAAAGTCAACTCCTTCGTCGTCCTTCATCCGCTTTCGGTTTTGCAATTTCAGGTTAGATGTTATCCATTGAAGTGACGTGTGAATGAGGAGGAGACTTTACACAAATAAGATGTGTGCAGAATCTCAGCTCGGTTGTTTACTAAAGCACGAAGAGCAAAGCCGCGGTATTTATTTATTTATTTTCAGTTTGGTGGAAGTTGGCCTACAACTTTCCAAAGTGCTGCTTTCTTTTCAAGTCGCGCCTCCTACAGTGTTTCACATCCTCGCAAGTCTCGCGGAGGATGAGCAAAGATTTGTGCCTCCGAATTAAACCAAGTCTTCACAAGTGAGGCTGTATGAATTGAGACACTTGAGAACGAGTGTGGGCAAACTCAAATGTTTTGGCTTCTCTGCTGTTGTCTCATTTGTGGGATGGGACTCGTTTCGCCGCCCTTCCACAATGAGAGATGAGATGCTTTAAGTCTACACCAATTAAAGAAAAAAAATGTCACGCTTGAATTGATATTTTCTGGTCACGTTCACACGACAAGAATTTTGTGCACGAACCACATCGGCGACAAATATTTAGTTTTGCTTGTGTCTGTCAGTCATGAGCCTTTGACTTAATTTACCTGCGACAGTCTTAATCATCTAATACTTGTCATCAATTATTTTTATTTTCAAATGAGATTTTTCCAGACTTTTCTGTATTTATGAATACATTTTAAGAGTGCCTCAATGTAAATGCGTATTTTCTTGCCTTCTACATCTATTTAGCCTCACAGACGAGGAAAAATTTTAACAGCAGTAGAGTGAGGCGATTATATGAAGACAGAAAAATAACTTTCGTCACAGAGTTTCATTTCCCTGGGTGTCCCACAATAAAATTAGGTGGTTTCCAAAATGACAAAAAGCCAAGAGTTATCCTTTGCCAGGTCAAGCCTACAAAATTTCATCACATTATTTTCTTCTGCTCATTTCTACCTAACTTTATTTGGGCATGGTATTTTTTTACCTGATAGTTGCATTTACAAACATATTTCCATATTTTTTTTTGTATTTAACACATTTGATTCAAAGGGTGCCTTGAGAGTCAATGTCACTGTAGAAGGGGAAAAAAAATCTAATTTTAATCCTTCAAGTGGAAATTCAGATGAGGATGTAACTTTGAATCCTTTTTTAAAAACATGTATTTTCTAAGTGGGGATTAGTTTTCATTTCAAAAATATTTTAAAGGTTCGGCTCAAAAATGAAGGGAAAAAAATTGTTATATAGGAGTTGTGTTTTATTTAGGCACTTTCAACATCCCAGAAAAAAATGAACGAGTGCTTCAAAATATGACAAACATTCTCCAGTCACAAGCCTACCAACTTTTTTTTTTTTTTTAAATGAGAACAAGAGAGGAAGGAAATAAAGATGCAGCTGCGTGGTTTTGGAATCCGCTCGCTCTTCTTATCTCACACAGAAGCTCTGTGTGGCACATCGATCCCGGATTTAAAACTACACTTTCACGTTTTAATATTTTTTTTTTAGATTTTTTTTTCCCCCCCCTCAAAGGACAAATTTCTCCCATGAAGACCATCCGATGGCTTCCACTGGGTGAGTCAGTATGTGCGTATGAACACCATATAATCATGCATTGTGACGATATTGATGCAGTATGTTCTTTCCTCAGTGCTGGGTGCTCTGCAGGCTGCGGCCGAGCTCTTCCACACCAAAGCGGGCCAGGGGACCGTCATCAAGTGCGGCCCGGACAACTTCGCCTCCAGCCTGGTGTGGCGTCGCGGCAGCCAGCTCCTCTTTAGGGTCACCAGCAAAACTCGCATGCTGCAGAGAGGTATGTCGTGTGTTGCCGCCCCAAAGAAAAATTTACAAATCCAATCACTTATTAATTCATCTTGTATTGTTTTCTGCCAGGCAACAGTAACATCGCAATGAGGTCCAAACAGAAGCAGGACACCAATTTGCAGATCTCCGTGGTGGAGGAAGGTGACGCCGGAGAGTTCACATGCGTGGTGGACAACAAGGAAACAGTGCACACGCTTGTCGTCGTCTCGAGTGAGCACTGAACTGCACACAAACAGGAGGGTGTTTGGGAATTGATGGACTTGAATGTCAATTTTTATAACAACAATTCAGGCGACATTTTTTTATTATTATTTCTCTCAACGGTGACGTAACAGCTTTCTGTCATTGAAAGGTGTATTTTTTTTAACAGCTGAACAGAAGGTCGTCATTGTTTCACGATTAATACTTGATTAAATATTTCGGGTATTTTTGTTTGGTGGTGCGCCGTAAGATTTTCCGAACTTAAAATGGGTGCCGTTGCGCAACAAAAGTTGGGAGTCGCAAAAAAGATGTTTTTTTAAATCTGCGAGGTTCCTAAAAAGACCAATTTTTGAAGTCTTCATGAATATGTGATTTGCTCAATATCCCATATTTTCTAAATCCTTACATTGTAACTAGGAGGAAGGATTTTTAATCCGCAAAATTAGCAATGAGGATGAAAAAAATGGGTTTATCCACATTCAGAATGAGTAAAATGAAAAAGCACGCAACCAAAGCGCAACAAATGAAAGACCTGCATTGTCATTGGAATCAAGTGTGTGTACTTTTGTGAGGGATTTTTTTTTGACCAGGCATTTAATTTATTTCATTATTTTTCTTCTTTTAATGACAATTTTTACCCATGGTGGATTTTATTTAATTTTTTTGTAGGCACAATGTTTAAACCAATCTGTCGTTTCCAACATCATAAAAAGCCATCCCGATATATAATACAATCGGAATCTTCATTTTAATGTAATTCACGATACCTAGTTCTATATATACAATGTGTGCAATAAGTTTCACACAGTTGTTATAATTTTAGTTTTCTAAAACTTTATTGCGACGTGTTAACATCAATGTATGGATTCTCGCCATATTTCCCTTCCATCCTAAAAAAACAAATGTCATATCAATTTATATTGACACCGCATTTTCTAATTTTTTTCTACAACAAAATCGAAATTAAAGTCACACTTCTTGTCCACACTTTCCATGTATTTAATCTATTTTATATCAAACTTTGAATTTAAATGTGGTTAAAATGTTAATTCGTTTATCATTCCATTGGTTGATTTATGTTACTTTGAATTTCATTCTTTGGTTTAACTTGCCATTTAAAACGTTTTTTCAGCAATTTATTACAAATGTTAATAATAAGTGACAGTTTATCTTTCAATGTCAATTACATAAAATTCTATTCCGAACAACTGTGGATGCACACAGGCAACTCAAGGGACGAGCAATCCTAAATCCACCAAAACAATATCTGGCGTTGTGAGTCAACGATGCGATTTCTACGGTTGTTTCCAGTGTCGGTGGACCCTCCGGGTGACGACCTGCGCCCAGGCAGTCTGGCAAAACTGCAGTGCCGCGTGGCCGGGCTGCCGTCGGACCCGCGGGTGGAGTGGAATCGACCCGGCGATGCTCATCGATGGGATCGCGGCCTGGCTCGCCTTGAGCCGGTGGAGGCGTCCCATGCTGGGAAGTGGCAATGTGTCTTCCACCACGATGGGGCCCACTACATGGAGGAAATCGAGCTTAGCGTGAAAAGTAGGACGTAGGAATCCAGTTCATTTCTACCAAAAGGACACTTTTTAATCAATCTGTTTGTTTTTATCCTTGCAGAAATGTCCATGACAACCATCTCCCCAAGTGCAAGGGGTAACTCGAACTTTTTAAACTCTTTCATGCATAAAATGTCCACTGTGGTACCCGCTGCCCCTGAAAGGGTTAATGTGAATGTTTCTAGGGGGGCAAAAAAAATGCATTAAAATGTCTTAAAATCAGCCTTGCAGAAGTCTCCAAAAATGTTAACAGGAACAGTCTCATATCAAAATGAATCTTCTTAAACATATAAAAAAATAAAATACAGTCTGACTCCCGCAGTACGATTGCACAATCGTGATGGCGGAAACAAGATTGTGCTTTTACTTAGCAGCTACTTTGTTGTCTGGGCTGATTTTCAGGTCATCCGTCCCCTGGCCCCATCATGGTGGCGCTTCCCAAGCTGGGCTTTTGGCTCGTGGCCTCCGGTGGCAGCCTGCTGGTGCTCCTGCTGCTCATCTTGGTCTTGATTATGTCTTGCCGCATCAGAAGAAGGAAGGTCAGAACACAAACATGGCCAACCTGCCAGCATTATTTTATTTTATTTTTTCTAAATGAACAGCATTCTTGTTCCGATTTGGACTTGATTGATTAAGAAGACCATGTTCTTAACTTCAGCTTTCTGGTCGGGGTTGAACGACAAAATACTTTTTGTCATCGACTGCAGCGCGATGGAAGCTATGCTGAGCACAATTAATCTACGTCATTGATATTTCGGCACAGTCCAGCAGTCTGCGCAAAATAGCAGTCAAAAATTTTTTTTCCCTTTCCTTCCCTTTGATGATCATAAACATCCATGGCAAGTCAACTATTAAATGTTGTGGGTCTGTATTTTATAGAGGTCTGACCTCAGAGCTTACTATGTGCCACGACCAACTTCGTGAAAAAAAACATCTCAAATCTTCTATCCATATTGAAATTTCTGTTGTTTTTCGTAAAAACAAAAATAGTACTCTGCAATTTTGTATTTTTATTCAAACATGCAGTTAAACACAATTCAATTATGATTTCAAGCTTTACCCGTAAATTTGCTGCCCTGTTACATCTGGCGTGTGCACCTTGGCCACCAGGAGGCAGTATTTTACGTAGAACTACACAACTGCAGTAATATTAGACCTTTTTTTTTTTTTTACTGAGGATAAAGAATATATGCCTGTGAATATTGAGTATGCTCTGTCTGCATGTGTTGCTACCGTTTGTGTTCAGATCTAAATAGTTTAGAAGTACTGTAATAATTGATGCCAGTGTTGTTGGCCTGTCCATGGATTTCCCCATCTCGCGTTAGCATTAAGCGAGCGGACTTCGTAAGCCAATGTTTGTTGACTTAAGTAAATACACAAGGTGTTTTATGGTAAGTTTCTTTTTTTTGTGGGTTTTTTGTTTTTTTGTCTTACTTGACTGTTATGGGCTGCTTGTTGTTACGTTAGCCGCCACGAAAAATCGCCTTGCAGCTTGAAAAACTTGTCAGTAAAAAAGTCCTCTCTGTGAGAAGCACGACTTCATAAAAGTGTACTTACTGCGAGGTTAAAGAAAACTGATGAGGAATTGCTACCAAGCTGTTTTGAAGAGTGACATCACAAGTTCACAAGGAGGGAGCACACACACACCCCAAAAGCTCAATAATTGTTTTGTTTTTTTCCTTCCCCCCAGCTTCAGAAGAGATTCCTGCAGATGAACGCCAGAAAACCGATGAGCGGCCGCCAATACTGCCAGTGTCGCGGGTATTTCATCTCCGTCTTATCCCCCTCTGCGCTCACTCGGCACATTTGGCAGCCACCGCTGTACTAATTAGTGCAAAAACCTCCCGTCTTTATCACAGCCCGACAGCTGCCGTGGCACCACGGCGGCCGGAGAAGACGACAACAACGACGACGAAGAAGAAGAAGAAGCCGCCCGCCCTCCCGATGTGCTGAAAAAGCGACTGAAGGAAAATAAAGAAAAAAGATGACGTGAGAGAGAGAGAGAGAGAGAGAATTAGTAAGACAATGACGAGCTGAATATAAATTGAATCGATGTGAACTTATTCACATGAACGGAGCAGATGAATTTAGTTCCAGCGCATTTTGAAATATGAGCTGCTTTGATGCCCTTTATCCCTGCGAGTTATTTTGACGCAACTCCTATTTTGTAATTATTTTTTAAAGATAGACTTTTCTTTTTTTTCTGTTCCTAAGTTGCAGTTCACGTGAATGGTTTGACATCTGTGGTGTACATCGTCTGTATATATATATATATGACTCTGGTTATGTCGGAGGCAAACTTCAATAAAGTAATGCTTATTTCCGTCTTCTCATTGCCTTTCGGTGACTTGAAAACACATTGCGTCGGGTAACGTCGGTGCGTTTCCCCACAACTGCTGCAGTCGGTCACGAGAACACAGGTGCGCTCACATGAAACGAAAACCACCAGAACATCCCAAATTTCAATCTAAAGAGGCCGCGTGCTTAAAAAAAGGAGGGGAGAAAACGAATCATTGATTATTGTCACTGCCTCCACATTTTGATGAGATTGTGAATTATTTGGGGGAAATGAGAGGAAAGCTGACTTGATGTCATGGTTCCAAAATATGATTTAAAACTTTTGAGGGTTTTTTTTTTTTTTTTAGAAACACCAAAGTCTCTGTAAAATTGATCCCAAATTCATTTTTATCTTTAAAATTGTCATTTTCTATATAATGTAATGTATAAAATACCAATTTGATGCAATGTGTATTTCTGTTTTATACATTGCGGAATGTAATTATTCAATATCAAGTTGATCCGACACTCATTTGTTTTGTCTTCATTCATATCCGATGTGGACTTTATATTAATTCTGTATTTACGTACCTCTTCTGTTGTGGATCAATATTTTCCCCCCTTATTACATCACGTAATATATAAACGAGACAACGTCATCACTTTGGGGATGAACTCACAAAATGCAAGCATATTCAAGAAATGATATGGTGATATTAATGGGATCTACGATATTTCCAGATGTCGACTGCCAACTTCCAAAACTTGTGAAGAGTAATCGTAAGTTTCTTTTTTTTGTGGGTTTTTTGTTTTTTTGTCTTACTTGACTGTTATGGGCTGCTTGTTGTTACGTTAGCCGCCACGAAAAATCGCCTTGCAGCTTGAAAAACTTGTCAGTAAAAAAGTCCTCTCTGTGAGAAGCACGACTTCATAAAAGTGTACTTACTGCGAGGTTAAAGAAAACTGATGAGGAATTGCTACCAAGCTGTTTTGAAGAGTGACATCACAAGTTCACAAGGAGGGAGCACACACACACCCCAAAAGCTCAATAATTGTTTTGTTTTTTTCCTTCCCCCCAGCTTCAGAAGAGATTCCTGCAGATGAACGCCAGAAAACCGATGAGCGGCCGCCAATACTGCCAGTGTCGCGGGTATTTCATCTCCGTCTTATCCCCCTCTGCGCTCACTCGGCACATTTGGCAGCCACCGCTGTACTAATTAGTGCAAAAACCTCCCGTCTTTATCACAGCCCGACAGCTGCCGTGGCACCACGGCGGCCGGAGAAGACGACAACAACGACGACGAAGAAGAAGAAGAAGCCGCCCGCCCTCCCGATGTGCTGAAAAAGCGACTGAAGGAAAATAAAGAAAAAAGATGACGTGAGAGAGAGAGAGAGAGAGAGAATTAGTAAGACAATGACGAGCTGAATATAAATTGAATCGATGTGAACTTATTCACATGAACGCAGCAGATGAATTTAGTTCCAGCGCATTTTGAAATATGAGCTGCTTTGATGCCCTTTATCCCTGCGAGTTATTTTGACGCAACTCCTATTTTGTAATTATTTTTTAAAGATAGACTTTTCTTTTTTTTCTGTTCCTAAGTTGCAGTTCACGTGAATGGTTTGACATCTGTGGTGTACATCGTCTGTATATATATATATGACTCTGGTTATGTCGGAGGCAAACTTCAATAAAGTAATGCTTATTTCCGTCTTCTCATTGCCTTTCGGTGACTTGAAAACACATTGCGTCGGGTAACGTCGGTGCGTTTCCCCACAACTGCTGCAGTCGGTCACGAGAACACAGGTGCGCTCACATGAAACGAAAACCACCAGAACATCCCAAATTTCAATCTAAAGAGGCCGCGTGCTTAAAAAAAGGAGGGGAGAAAACGAATCATTGATTATTGTCACTGCCTCCACATTTTGATGAGATTGTGAATTATTTGGGGGAAATGAGAGGAAAGCTGACTTGATGTCATGGTTCCAAAATATGATTTAAAACTTTTGAGGTTTTTTTTTTTTTTTTTAGAAACACCAAAGTCTCTGTAAAATTGATCCCAAATTCATTTTTATCTTTAAAATTGTCATTTTCTATATAATGTAATGTATAAAATACCAATTTGATGCAATGTGTATTTCTGTTTTATACATTGCGGAATGTAATTATTCAATATCAAGTTGATCCGACACTCATTTGTTTTGTCTTCATTCATATCCGATGTGGACTTTATATTAATTCTGTATTTACGTACCTCTTCTGTTGTGGATCAATATTTTCCCCCCTTATTACATCACGTAATATATAAACGAGACAACGTCATCACTTTGGGGATGAACTCACAAAATGCAAGCATATTCAAGAAATGATATGGTGATATTAATGGGATCTACGATATTTCCAGATGTCGACTGCCAACTTCCAAAACTTGTGAAGAGTAATCCCATGAGAAACTGATGGCTGTCTGACTTCCTGTGTGTGTGTGTGTTTGTGTGTGTGTGTGTGTGTGTGTGTGTGGGGGGGGGGGTCACACCTGCATGTGTCCTCTCAGAGCTGCGCTGAGCGCATCATCAGACCCACATGGTGTCTTCCGTCGCTCTCCATTTTCATTGTTCTTTCTCTCCCCTGCACTCATTGTTTTGCAGATGACTCGGGGGCGAGGCTGGCTACGCCTTGGACGGATCACCTGTCAATCACAATGACGACAACCAAGTAAGTGTTCTCAAATAGTCAAATAGTTTGGACTTTCCAGCATTTACAGTACATGGAGCGGCACACTGTGAATTTGATACCTGGGCCTTGAATGGAGAATTCATTCAGCGATTCGTGCTGCCGAAAGCACGTCTTACAACTGAAAGAAAAATCATGAATATTTTTGTTTTGTTTTTTTGAGGGGTGGAGGGTTAGGGGTGTTTGAATGTCATCTTTGTCTTAAAAACGCTGAAAAAAAAACATTTTTTTCTGGGGTCGAATAAAATCGCTAATATCGAACAAATTGGATTGAAAATGCGTACTTCGGCTTCGCCTTAGACCCCCTTGAGCCAGACAATTCACCAGTTTGTTACATAAATGGGGGCGTTTTTCATTAAAAACAACGGGATTACCTTTTCATGGCTTCATAACGGGGTGTGTGTGTGTGTGTGTGTGTGTGTGTGTGTGTGTGTGTGTGTGTGTGTGTGTGCGTGTGCTGTGCGTGTGTGTGTGTGTGTGTGGAGAGAGACACTAATGAACACACTCTGTGTGCGTGTGCGCGAGCATGTCGGCTCTCATATTCGCACCTGGGGTGTCGTTTCAATTTGTGCAAATTATCAGCAGCCAAAGTCGCGTCAGATGATGTGATTTTCGACAACAAAATAAGCTTGTGTACACGCAGTGGGCGACTTGACGTGAAAACAGACAATAAAATGATTTGGGCTGACATTTGCCGAATGAGCGGCAAAAATCAGTATGTTGGTGCCATTTTCTTTTCCCGCATGGAATTTTGTAGAGCGAAAAAAAAAGCACTGTAATTAGAAATGGGGTTGCTAGTTATTTTTTCCTGGAATACAAATGCAAAGTGTGGTCGGGATGGGCAGGACGTGTCCTTTCTAACCTCATGCAGAAATCCAGAGGGACTGGAAGCGTCACAGAAAGGCGTACTTGTTAGAGGACAGCAAATTGTTTCAAAAGCACTAAAACAGTTGCGCATGTGTTTGGAGAAGATCAAATTAAGTTCAACTTTTAAAGTTTTACTTTCATCCTGAAAGTTGACTTTGTGAGGAGTGCGGAGCCACTTGTTGCTAGGCAGACTTTGTAGGGCTACAGCCACGACCACCAGACAAGGGAATGGGACCGGTCGACCAATGCATTTTTTCTTTCTTATTTTTTATTTATTTATTTATTTTTCTAATTTAACACACATTAGTGCAGTGTCAACTAAATCTATGAACTCAGTTTCTTTTTCTCTGCTTTTCGGTTAAACTCCTCCCCTGGCCTGGATCCCAATCTAATACTTCTTTGTGACCACACACCCGGTGCAATATGTTCATTCACTTTATCACTTTAAAGTGTATCCCTCAAGGAAAATGTGATCCTCCACACTGTAATGATGTGAAGAAGAGACATGATTAAGCAAATATGCAAATTAGACCGCACGGTGCCACATAATGAATCCTGCGAGGGATATGCCCCCATTATTACAATTATTCTTTTTTTTTTAACTATATTTACATACAGTTTGTAGCAGTCACACTTTTGCCCTCAAGTTTGTGTGATACCGATTAAAAAATCCATATATATTTAAAATTCTTTTATTTGCCTAAAATATGTTTAGAAAAAAAACCCAACAACCCAATTGCAGTGGTAATGTGAAATGTCATCACGCATGAGTAAGAAGATGACTAATATTGCGACGTGGCGATTAATTAGCGACTGTGCGCTTCTGTTTTCAGACCAATCACATCCATGCGCATTGGGGGAGGTGCAACAGCAACGCCACCGCCAGTCAAAAGTCATTCTGTGATCACTCTTCAGCGCTCGATAACAGAGTCGGCATCGATAACTGTAAGTACAGCATACTCATTTGACGCGTACTGTCAGCTATTTAAGACGCTTCTTTACCGAAGAAATATCGCAGCATGAATGTACAGTTCACAAAGCAGCGCCCAATGTGAGCTGAGAACACCATTTGGTAAATGAGCAAAATATATTTTTGGTATATTTCCGTAATGGTTAATACACCATTATGTAAAATATAAAATATCGTCTTTTTTTGGTTTGTTTTTTCAAACAATAAAATAGCACAATCCCACCAAAATTGAAAGAGTCCGCATTGCTTTAGTGTCAGATGGTCTCTTTCTTAATTTATATTACCGGTATATTATTTCTCCCTCCCGAAAGTTGACCTATCTTTTCAACCCTTCTTTGCTTTTTTTTTTGGGGGGGGGGGGTTCTTAATCATAAAACATTATTTTTATTGTATTATTGTTTTAAAAAAAAATTGTTCTATTATTAAACACCAGCTAAATGAAAACTTCTGCGTGTTTTAAATGACTTGTATTTCAGTCCAGTCGTTCTACATATCGTTAGCCTAAAAACATACCTGCCGAAAATAAATACATAAAAACCCAGAAGAGTTCAGTTTCCTCGAATTAGCCTTTGCAGATGACCATGACCCGGATCACTGTGAATCCGCACTGAACAAAGAAAAAAATACAACCTCAAGCAACCACATTGGTGCTATTTATTGATTTGGTGAAGTTACAAATGGCTTCGGCTATTCGGCGAATGATATTGCATAATATTTCATGTAAAATCACTGGTCGTGTTGTTCGTAGAACATGTAGTCAAGTTTCAGATGAAAACAACCAAACAAAACTATATGTTCTGTATTTATTCTCAATGCACAGCGGAAGGCAGCATCAAGCTGAAAGTGCATTGGTGACCTGAATCGCTCCAACCACGTTGCAAGTACATCTCGGCATGCATCAACAGAATTATGACAACGGTAGTCATGCTGCCTTCTCAAATGCCTTCTCATTATCACAAACATGGCTCCACGGTGTTGTTGTTGCTGCTGTTGCTGTGTGGCATGGCATAACGCACATGCACGCTTCCCTTTTTTTTGGTTTGTTTTTTCAAACAATCCCACCAAAATTGAAAAGAGTCCGCATTGCTGTACTGTCAGATGGTATCTTTTCAACCATTCTTTGCTTTTTTTGGGGGGGGATGGGGGGTGGAGTTCTTAATCATAAAACATTCTTTTTATTGTTGCATTATTGTTTAAAAAAAAAATTGTTCTACTATTAAACAGCAGCTAAATGAAAAATTCTGCGTGTTTTAAATGACTTGTATTTCAGTCCAGTCGTTCTATATATCGTTAGCCTAAAAACATACCTGCCGAAAATAAATAAATAAAAACCCAGAAGAGTTCGGTTTCCTCGAATTAGCCTTTGCAGATGACCATGACCCGGATCACTGTGAATCCGCACTGAACAAAGAAAAAAATACAACCTCAAGCAACCACATTGGTGCTATTTATCGATTTGGTGAAGTTACAAATGGCTTCGGCTATTCGGCGAATGATATTGCATAATATTTCATGTAAAATCACTGGTCGTGTTGTTCGTAGAACATGTAGTCAAGTTTCAGATGAAAACAACCAAACAAAACTATATGTTCTGTATTTATTCTCAATGCACAGCGGAAGGCAGCATCAAGCTGAAAGTGCATTGGTGACCTGAATCGCTCCAACCACGTTGCAAGTACATCTCGGCATGCATCAACAGAATTATGACAACGGTAGTCATGCTGCCTTCTCAAATGCCTTCTCATTATCACAAACATGGCTCCACGGTGTTGTTGTTGCTGCTGTTGCTGTGTGGCATGGCATAACGCACATGCACGCTTCCCAAGGGAGATAAATTGGCAGTTGATAAATCGGGGAGGCACGCGCCGCTGTTTGCCCCCCCAAAATGAATGTCGACGTGACTCAAGTGTATGTGTTCAGCTTGTGCCTAATTGCCGTGGTGAAAAGTAACACAACTCCACTTTATTTATAGAGCACTTTAAAAACAACCATGGCTGCATGCACAATGCCGTACATTAATTTAAAAAAAAATCTGACATATAAAAGCAAAGAGTGGCTAAAACATGAAATTGATCACATGAAAAGAGTCTCATTGATGTAATGATCATCCGCATAGCGCGGAAAGGAGATTCTATGATTTCTGCCCAAGGGGCAGCAAAGACAATGTGAACAGCAGGGGCCCTAAAATTGAACCCTGTGGAACACCAAACGACAGTGGGGCAGAGTGGGACTCGGAGCATCCAATGTTAACACCAAAAGGCCTGTCTGCCAGACAGGACCTAAAGTCAACTGCGGTTGAGATCTTGATTGATTAATTTAAGTCTTGTGATCTTAATAAGCAGTAAAAAACGAGACGGCAGCAACTTGGTGGAACGTGAACCAGGAACAGCAACAGATTTGGGAGCAGTAAGATACTCTCTATTCATAGCCGTATTAAGACGTGTTTTTTTTGTTTTGTTTTGTTTTTTTATGAGGTTGGATCCAAAGATGATTCATGCCTTTTGTATTGCCTTTTGACAGCCCCAAAACACCAGCTTCTTAGATTCATACAGCATCTGTCTAATCTGGAAAAAAAAAACAACCCCTTTTTGCATTAGTAGTTCTACTAAAGAGTGTGAGTATTTTTGGTCCGCTTTTTGTGGGCTATATTATTAGGCGCACCTGCATTTTTCATTCCCGATTCAATGGAAAATGTAGTCTTTACAAGAATCAATAGAACTTTTAACAACCCCACTCAGAGAAGTTTAGAGAGGAGCCTCGAGCGCAGTCTCCGTGTGCTGTGGTTTCCTTTCAAGCGAGGGAGAGATCCGTCTTTCTTGGAAGAGATGAGGTGTGGGAGGAAGCACAAGAGAGGGGCGAATCAGGATAACAATCTTAACTAAATCAAGGCCCGCCGCAAGCCTCGGCGAACGCACATGTAAAGCCCGCCGCGGGACGCCCACTCTCCACTGTCGGCGGCTTTTTTTTTTTTTATTTAATCTCTGCTGAGTTCCTCAAATCTAAGACCACCACAAAGGCGTCACTTCCTCCACGTCCACACCCCACCACTACGTATTTTGCACTAAAAGCAAGAACTAGGAATTCAAGAAAACTTTTTTTTTTTAATTTTTGAACTGTATGAATGTATTACCAAAAAGAAGAACAAAAAATTTATATAATAAGACACAAACAAATACTTGCAAAAGAAACACATGGAAATAGTTTGATTTTGCCAACACTGCAACTTATCTGGACCATAAAGTGTGACAAAAAACGGTTTGTCTACATTTTTTTTTTTTGCTTGCAGTTTTTCATTTAAATGTTCATCTTGTAGTTTGAAAGTTTACCACATCCGTGCGTTTGAAGATGAACTATTAGTATACCAACACATACACATAACAATACTCAAAAGCATATATTCTTTATCCTCGCTACAAAAACGAGTCATATTTTTGGGGGGGGGGGGCGACGCTGAGAAGGCGGACCTTCAGGACAGTGATGATACTTCCAGACTCGACGTTGTCCCAGCGCATTTCTGAGGCGAGGCAAACCTAAACAAACACAGAGCGAAATGAACCAATCAGCGAAGAGCGGATGTGACGCATCTTCTTTTGAAATAAATGCTTCCATCTGGCGTGAGGTTTTCATGATTCTCTGTGTTTCTGCTCACTTGAAATTGAGTTTCATTCTGAGTGAAACAAACTATCTTCTCTCTCGCGCGTCCTTTTTGAATGTGATGAGGATGGACTTCTGTCACCGAAGAGTGATGTCGCTCACGAAGAATACATGCCGGCAAATAAAGGAATTTGATTGCACGTTTTGTTTTGGACCGGGGTCGAGTCGCGGTCGAGGGCGGGCTTGTGCAGACCCGTTTCTTTTGTGCAGAAAGAAAGTGGATTTCGCTTGCCAGGCTACATGATCCTAAAACCCCGTCTTCACCCGCCCCATGGGGCCAAAACGTCACTGAACAAATTCAAGGCCTTTTTCCAGACACCCCTGGAAGAAGATGGCGATTTTAATCAAGCGGAGCAATACCAAGACTGTACATGTATGTTATGTGTGTTTTCCTCTTCTCTTTTACAGGCCGGCATGAAGGTCATCGTAGAGATGCTCATCCTGGCCGCGCTCATTTGGACACCAAGTAGGTTACATGTGAGGACCGATGATTCCTGCCCGCGCTTGCTGTATGAACTCGCTTTGAGTGCATGTGTGACACAGGCTGCGAGAAGGTGGTCTACATCAAAGAGGGAGACACGGTCACGCTGAGGCTGGATGGACTCGAAGCCAATAACGAATACTTGTATTGGTCCCACCGTAGTCTCCAAGAAGGCTGGCTGGCCTGGCAGCATCCCTTGAGGGGCTGGTCCTTCACTAAAGGTGCGCTTGCGTTGCCATGAGGGGAAATTCAATCGGGAGTTGTTCCCATGATGGCGTCTTTGCTTGCAGATAAGCGCTGGGCCGGCAGGTTGTCCGTTTCCCAAGACGCACTGAGCATCAACGGAGTCAAAGAGCATGACTTTGGCACGGTGGTCTTTTCCAGACTCTCCAACCTACATGCTAAAATCACTCCAGTGAAGAGTTTCACAGTCTCCAAAATCACAGGTGGGCTACCAGAGTGTTGCAAATAGGGATGTTTGAGACCACTTTTTCAGGATTCGGTATTGACTCTTGAGTACTCACTGATACCAAGTACCGATACCGCCAGTATGATTTCATACATTTCAACAAACACAAAAAACAGATTGGGGCGGCCCGGTGGACGAGCGGTTAGTGCGTCTGCCTCTCAGTGCAGAGGTCGTGGGTTAGATCCCGGCTCCAGCCTTCCTATTTGGCTCCCATGTTCTCCCCGGGCCTGTGTGGGTTTTCACCGGGTACTCCGGTTTCCTCCCACATTCCAAAAACATGCATGGCAGGCTGATCAAACACTCAAAATTGTCCAGAGGTGTGAGTGTGAGCGCGGATGGTTGTTCGTCTCTGTGTGCCTTGCGATTGGCTGCCAACCGGTTCAGGGTGTCCCCCGCCGACTGCCCGAAGACGGCTGGGATAGGCTCCAGCACCCCCTGCGACCCTTGTGAGGATAAGCGGATCAGAAAATGGATGGACAAAAACAGATCATTGTGAACAAAGACAAATAAAGGTTATCTTGTCTTATCTCATCAAATATCTCGATTTCCCCAGTGTCTGTCGACGCCAAATACACTGTTCTGGTGTCCCATGAAGTCGTGATGCTCTCCTGCCACGTGGACACTCCTCCAAATCACCGCAAGCCGGACCTATACTGGTTGAATCCGGTGGGAGAGAGGATTACTCTGAGCGGAGGACAATTGCGAGTGGCTGTCACGGGCCGAGACAACGGCCGGTGGCGCTGCGTTGTCGTCAAGGATGACGGGGAGGACACGGCCTCGCTTTTCATTACGGTTCTCGGTCAGTCACCTTCGCTCGATTATTTCGCTGATTCTTTTGACATGTCATCGGGAACATCAGTAGCTTGTACGAGCCATTGATTTTTTTGTTTTTTTTTTAATGTAAATTCTGCATTCTGAATTTTTATTTGAATTTTATTTCATGCTCATGAAAGTGCTTCTGAGCTTCAATTCTTTCTGCCTCCTTTTTCCAGACCTCTTACCAGCTCCTGAGTTTCCTCTGTACACCTCGGAGCAGTCGTCTCTCAGCGTCCCTTGCCCTTTTGCCTTTAACGTCTCCTGGGAACAATTCCAATCCAGGAACGTCAAGAAAGTCAGCTGGTGTTACATTCCAAAACTATACTGGCATCACTTCATCATAAATCCGCAGATGATCCTGGTCTTCTCCCCAAAGAATGCGGAACAGGGCTGGAGGTCAAACACGAGCCGGGGAAAAGGTTTTGTGGCAGACCTCCAAAAGGGTGGCTTGATTTTAAGCAAAAAACAATGGGGAGTAGAGGACCGAGGACACTACAGGTGCAAGTTCAAATTTGGCAACAGCATCTCCCTGAGCAGGAATGTGAGTGTCGAGGTGTTAAGGGGTAAGTCGAGAATGGCTACTTCATACATGTTGACCAGTGTAAAATGCTTTTTTTTTTTCCATGTCAAATCCATTTGAAAAATACAATTCAAATAAAATTCACTCATAAATTCCAGACAAAAAGATGAAAAAAAATACCTGTCCAAATGAGCTGGTAGGAAAAAACAGATTATCCAATTGCAAAATAAAAGTTTTTTTTTGGGGGGGCAGGAAAAAAGCCTAGACGGATTTCGAGAACCTTCACCAGAGCTAAATGGAAGTTTTTTGGCTGGGTCAGAGCCAAAAGTCCAAATCTTTGGGGGAGACCTTAAACTTCGATACCCCTGCAACATGAAACACTTGGCGAAGTCGAGTGCTGCAATAGAATCATTATCATTGTAAAAAGAGTGATCAAGACAATTAGAATAACAAATAATAACTAATCATAACTTGTTCTTTTTTTCTTGTGTAATGGTAAAAATACAATTCCAAAATAATGTCTATATTTTCAAAGCCCACGATAATGCATTAACTACAAAACACCAATGACAATAATAATATTAAAAACAATACAATAAGTGTCAAACAAAAATGACATGAGTCATAATTTTATAATCATCAAAACAATACATGTAAAAAAAAAATAATGTGAATAGACACAGTGTATTTGCAACCCTGTATAATTTAATAAAAATAAAACAACAACAACAATAATATCTTCTTTGTATTGGTAAAAATACATGACGAGAATAATGGGGTGGCATCTGGGTGGTTCTCAGAAAGTATGGTGCCGAAGTGAGAGCCCAAAAATGAACTTTTGAACTTTTGAAAGTTCAAGGCCAGGTCAGAATGATAATATTCTGTCAATCAAACGTTTCTGCAATGTGCTGTGAATAAATAAAGAGGCTATTGAATGTTGTGGCACTCCCTTGTTTCATATTGGAGGGCTCGGAGGCGGCAGTAAAACAGGCCAAAATACACATGGGTGAGAAATAGACGTGGAGGGCTGGGGCAGCTTGAAAGTAAACACGATGTCTTTCTGTCGATCCAACTAGTCGTCTCCTCCGCGGGATTGGTGCTTCACAGTGGCCAGAGCGTCAATCTGACCTGCAGCCTTGGCAAGGCCTTGCCCCGAGACCACTGGGTCAAGTGGTTCCCACCTGAGCGCTCCGCCGCACGGTCTCTGCTCAGCTTCGGCCGCCTGGACCCCGCGCAAATCGTCCTCGCTGAAGTGGGCCCGGACGATGGCGGCAGGTGGAGGTGCGAGCTGTGGCGTAACAACACAAGGCTGACGTCGGCTGAAATCACCTTGGCCGTCAGCCGCCAGCTGAGTGTGTGGATGCTTGTGAGCATCGGCGGCACTGCGGCCATCATCGCCAGTCTTCTCCTGCTTATTTGCATCACCTGGAGACACAGACGGGTAAGAGAAACACAATTTCTCTGAAATGTTTCAATAATCATTGTCCTCTCCCTTGGTCTGTCTGGCTCAGCGGAACACAAGACGCCACCGACATCGCGTCTGCCGCTCCAATCAATACGTACCGACGTTCACTTCCCGTGGGCGTGACACAGCGCCACTCCCAGGGGCCCACCAGTCTGAAGGATACACGGAGTGTTTTCCTCAAAGAAAAACCATGTTCAAACAGACGTCTCTTTCATATTGTCCCCGTCAGTCCGTCTCTGTTGCAGCCCCAAGCCCAAAGTAATTTGATGTGAGATATGTCCCGCGGCGTTTCAAAATAAGAAGTGCGAGTTACATAGCCTGCCGATGCTAGCGGATGATGTCGCCGAGTCCTTGGAACTGTAATGTAAGCTTAATGCATCGCAGCACATTATGCAAACACAAAGACATTGTGTTTGTGTTCTTTTTTTCCGACACAAATAAAACGTATACATGCAGGGTTTTGCATTGGACAGTGACAATTTGCTTGGTTCTGATTTACTCATCCATCCATTATTGATACCGTCTTGTCCTCACAGTCATACCTAAAATAAACACAACATAAGAAACACGTTTTTTAATTATAGGAGGTAGCCGGAGAACCTTGAAAAACCTGAAAGATAAAAGCTAAGAATATGTGCCCCCCCCAAAAAAAAATTGAACCAGACTAGCTGCTTTAAACCAAAACATCTGACTATTTTTTAATCTCAGGATAAAAGCTAAGAATATGTCCCCCCCCAAAAAAAATTCTTTAAACCAAAACATCTGACTATTTTTTAATCTCAAAGATAAGAAAACCTTGATTTGTCTCACAATGGAGAAATTCCCAATTTCCAGCAGCAAAGTTATGAAAGGGAGACAGTCGAAGACAAAAAGTATAAATATAGATGAGATGGGTCCTTGAGACTTTTTCGTGTATCCTGTTATGATAGACACTTCCACCCAATTTCAGGATGGTTGCTGAAACTGGTTTGGGCTAATCACTTTCCAGGGGGCACTCTTCAGGGATCATGTTCAGACCCCCTAAAATTTTCACCAGGGTACATGCACTTGCAAAAATTTGCAGGTTCCTGAGGTCCCCTTAAAAATGTGATGCAAAAAAGCTAGGGAATGTAGTGTCATGAATGTCCACCCAATTTCGCATTGAGCGTTGTAATTCGTGACAGGGGCTAATTTGTTTCAATTCTTTCTATTCTGACACACACACGCACACACACACCACGACAGATGCTCACACTGTTGCTTCAGCAGAATGTCATCAGTGTTTTTTTTCCCCTTCCTTGTACTTTTGGTGTAAAGTTTGCTCCCCTCTTTAATGTCAATCTCCGACACCGTCCGTGTTGCTTCACCTTGTGACTCTCATCTGCCGTGATGCAACACGGGGCAATCTGACATCCGGTCGGGTCGGGCAGAAAGAAATCACATCAAGCCAATTAGCGGCGGAAAGGAACATCCCCCCGTTAGGAGCCTGACAACCCCCTCGCAAATTATGCCAAGGATGAAGCATGCTTCTCATAAGACCATCCTTACTAAAACGTCATTTTTAACAATAAATTGCAGTACGTGGCTCAATATATCAAACTTTGGCTTCAATTTTTTTTTTCCTGGAGACTACGACTAACCTGTACTTGAAAGTTGTTATGGGGAGTTCAAAGAGAATGGTAAACAAATAATCTGTTGTGTGTTTCAAGTGTAATTTTCAGTGATCACTCAATCTTTAAGATTAACTATATTTTGTTCTTTTTTTCCTTTTTGAGGCACAGTAGTTTTCTTTGTTCTCAGCACTTCACAAAATGGAGCGTGGGTGTAAAGGATCAACACAACTAAGTGGTTATTAAATGTCAGCTACTCCATTTATACTGAAGCCCACCTTCGTATTATTGCACGAGGAAATGAGCCGCATTAAAATCAACATATACAGTATGAAGTACGCTCCACCTCCATCGCCACCTGATTTATCGAATTAATAATCCAAATAGACAACCTCATCTTGTAGCTGCACTGTTGTGTTGAACATAAATTGGGAGGACAACATGCAGGGTAACTGCAAATATTCTCAGTGAGGTGAAAAAGACTTGAATAGTTCTAAGACCTATTATTCTAATTATTCTCAGTCCGTGGTTTCGACAGGCTAATATTTCTTTCATTGGGTTTGAAGACCAAGTCAAACGTTCGCCCTTGAATTCTGCCTATCAACAAGAGAGACCACTGAGATGGAGTGGGATGCCCTAGCTGTGACTGAAAACGATTGGGATGTTTTGGGTGACATCCGAGCATTCTTTTATCACGCCAGCGCGAGACGCGGTCGAAAAGTTAATTTCGGTTGACAGCAGAGGGCGATATTGCTCAAAATGGCGGCTCCCTGAGATGGCTCAAGAATGAATTTATCTGGCATTCTTTACGGTGTTTAGACTCGTGGTGGCACATGCGACGCATTCTTTAACCCAAAATATTTGAGGTTAGCTGAAACATATTGTTTCCTTTTCAAATAAAAATAATCAGTGAAAAATGATCCATAATGTGTAATTTCAAAATACTGTTATACATTTGTCATGTTGCCTTTTTTTTTGCTCCATATTAATTGGTTTGAATGATTTATTATAAAAGGCAGCGCAGTGGTGAATGTAGTGACAATGTTTTGGGCTTCTCAACAGTGTTGACAAATGCCTCCAATACCGGAGTGTTAAAAAAACACTGCGCTCAAATGCAATCTGCATTATTTCCAATAAGTAGCTGCTCTAAGTATGCCTACTGTATGTAAATATATCGATTTACAATATTGCTCCCTCTAACCAGTAGAGACATAAGGCATGTTGCAAGGGGGCGCAGATTGAAACAAAGTACTGAAAGATTACATAAATGCATTTTCCCCCGGGATCACTAAGTACAGTATATGCATTATGCATGCTTCATTACCATACAAGAAAAAAAAACAGCATACAGAAGGCAATAAACAACATTTATCCTGCGTTTTTAAGGACACTCACCTTCTGTATTTTCATGTGTGTAAGTCTCTATAATAGAGTGTATGATTCACACATTTCGTAATGAGCTTCCAAATAACTTTTCTCTCATATTCTAATTTAGTGTGACATACGTGTTGATTTTGTTTGTTTTTCTCCATTTAACTTGGACCAAGAGTGCATATATTCCAGTGCAGTGCCCTCACTTCATCGAGCCTATTCGAGCTGACTTTGTATAAGGTGTGAAAGTAGTTCACACCTTGCTCTGGTCACCAGCCAATCGTAGGCTACTTAAACAACCATTCATACTTCTATTGATTAATCTATTTATTATACTGTACTTATGAGTGTGAATGGTTGTTCGGTCGATTTGTGCCCCGTGATTGGCTGGCAACCAGTTCAGGGTGTACCCCACCTACTGCCCCAAGAAGGCTGGGATTGGCTCCAGGATGCTCGCGACCTTTGTAAGGATAAGTGTCTCAGATAGTGGATGGATAATATTGTAGACTCTACAATGTGGAATTTTATTTTTCCTCATTAAAAAAACATGACCAAAAAAAGCCGCTGCTGTCTGCACTCGGGTCAGCATTGCTAACTCAAGGTTAAATAAAATCTATGAATAAAAGTAAATATGGTCCGCTTCACCTTACTTCAGAAGTATGTGACATCCTATAGTAAATATTTTTATGCCAAAGGTTTGCTCTGTGCGACCTGTTAGAGGATTAAACACAGTGATTTGACAGCTCGCACGCTTGGCTTGCTCGCATTTGATCAGGCTCCCCAGGACCGACTTGACTCCGTGGCCCCCATCTACACCAACATCATCCTCCTCCCGCAGGCTAAATGTTTTCTTATACAAGCCCACTATCTTCGTCTACAAGTCGGAGTCCATTTCACTCCCTTGCTGATTATTCTAGCTTTTATTTTTCAGGGCCGGCGTGCTTTTGGACACCTATAATTGGCCATAAAAATCATTAAAAAAGAAGATAACGCGCTCTCTGAGTCCAGAGAGGGTCATGTAATAGAGGAGGGGGTGCGAGGGGGGGGGGGGCACCAAAAGTCCATCATTGTGAAATATTTTCCCCTGCAGGGCCAAGAGACTCTATGGTGCGGAGTCTCGCTCGTTTAAAGCAAACACCAAGCGGGTGTCAGCTTGATCTATCACTGACTGCACACATACACTCTGGCATCCCTTGTTTTGTTCAGTAGGGTTCAGCTTTGCTTTGTGTGTACTCAAATTCATATTCCCGTAGAACAATAAAGACACGCTCACACTTGCTTGACTGCAATTTAAGTGTCTGACAGTTTACATTGCAACTGTGTGTGCGTGTGAGCACTGTCCTCATACAAGAAAGCAGATTTGATTGGTTCTACACATTTCTTTTTTGATTGGAGCATTGCTTCTGGAACAAACGCATACAATATTACTTGACCCTGGATGCTTTTATTGGTCCAACTGGTTACACCGTGACACAGACAGAGCAATCAGTGACAGACTGAGCACCGGGGATGACGCTCCACCGGGGCTATAGCCACGTCAGAAATGTGTGTAGCCCTTGTGAAACCCCTCATGCATTTTCTTGTATATTCTGCAATGCGTTTAGAAATTATTTTCTCAGCCCCACTGTGTCTTGGGTCAAACACCCTTTTAGTCGTGGAGCCGTGCCTGCTGGGGACCAAACAGACATTTTTACACAGGGTCTAAAATGTTTCGTTGGGTTGGATTGCGTTATATTTGAGTAATTTCACAGACCATAATGGCGAGATCCGCTAACTGACAGCAGCTATAAAACTCGCAGGCACGGCGCCAGTATTGTTTTTTTTTTCTCTTCTGAGGTTTAGGGGGAGCTTGACCGATTTGTGGAAACGTTTGCCGCATGACGCATGTCAAACGTTCCCACAAATCCTTTTGGAAACTTTTTGTGTGTGAGGAACCCCGCTGCCTTGCGCAGGTGTTCAGCTACCACCACATTTATTTGACTCGAAGACTTTTCGCCGTCTTCGATTATGTCCTGCATTTATTTTCGTTTTAAAGCACGTCATTATTTAGTACACCTTATTAAAATAGTAAGTATTTTTATTGCCTCACTTTTTTGTTCCTCAAGTAGAAAACATTTCACGTAGCATTGTTTGAGAAACATTCTAAGCCAGGTCACAACGTGTTGGTATGAAGTTGAATAGCCTCTGGATGTCGCTGTTCTCGCTGCTTCACTCTGGTGACGTACGGCAGCTACAAACCACGCCCTGTCCTCCACCCCCAACGCAACGAGTGTCCAATCAGAGAGCACGTTAACTTGTTGTCGTACGTGAGCTGAGCGGAAGTGAACGACCGACCGGGAAGGCTAATCCGCTTGCTACCAACACAACAAGGTAACATTTACTCAAATTTGTGTTATTTAGAATAGTTTTATGGCGACTTTCATGCATTCCCAGTCCCTTTAAATCACCTATGAGTCTCCTTGTATTAATTCTGGTCTATGGAAAGGCTTACAATAAACCGTGGCCTAGCG